TAGACAACTTTGTGGTGCTCCAATTGTCCCAAAATTCTGATTCTTTTCGGAACTGCATCGACCTTTGGTAGGAGGCAAGAAACTTGGGCAGGTTTTGCATAGTTCTCAAGCGGTGAGATAACTCCAAGATATTTGGGTTGAGGGAAAGTTTCTTAACACTATTGATAAGCTGAGTTTTATCCCGTTGTTTTCTACAGGTTTCTGCCATCGATCTGCAAAATTCATAATATGATGATCGGAGTACTCCTAACCAGGCCATACCAATGTGGAAAGTTCCACATTGGTATGGCCTGGTAAAGTGTGTGACCCTTTCTGTCGAAACGATAAATAAGCTGTGGAAAAGAGTTCGTTGAACGAAGGACGATGATCCCTTCCTACCCAACAGGAGAATCTTCAACGACGTGCCACCTCTGTTTCCAGTTCAGCTGCCCCCCCCCCTCCCCCCTTAAACGGGCTCACTATTCGAGCGTGAAAACGCCATTTTCTAATCCTTTGTACCACATAACGCCAATCACATCTTTCACAGTTACTTCACCTTCAGCCTCACCCTTTCCGCAGTACTCGACGCTTCCAGCCAGTCATAAAAGCCGGAGCTCAACTTTGGCCGTCGTTATCATTTGGTATCCGAAAGTTGAATAAGAATTTTATGAATTTTCAACAACTAGCGCTGAGAACGTTGTGCATAGAATGGCTCCGATTTTGAAATATCTCAAAAGGCCAGAATTCCTTAATTCACAATGTCGATAAAATAGCGGGGTTAGGGAATTTCCTGTAAAGAAATGAGCATTTACGAGAGCTTCTTTGCAATCCGGCAACCATGACCCTTCAGTAAAGAACCTACACTATATCGCATTATTTTCGTCAATCTGTTCATCAAACAAATTTCTTGGAGAAGTGTCAAGAAGAAAAAGCTTTCTTTTAGAAGAATTTCAAATGCCACGGAACACTTACCAAAAGTACTTTTTGCTTTTCTTTCTGCAGGTTCGCTTTCACCTTCACTGTTGAGCGCAACTACATTCTTATCCGTTGGTTTTCGTCCTGGTTCGGTCTTCTGGACTGATGTTACGATCAAAACCGACAGTGTACCATAAAGTAACAGTCGGTTTAATCGCATACCTGAAAAAGAAGGGATAGCGATGGAAAATACTGCTAGGAGCCCAACATCAGACGAAAACCAGCAGCTAAAGGAGCGAATAAAAGAAGCCCGAACGGAGTTATAAAAGTGGAAATAGGTTCTGCAAAGCAGTTTCCGATTATCAGTGTTGTGGCTAAGTCCGTAAAAGCTCGTCATCGGCCAGTTTTACGCACAATTGCAGACGCTTA